CGTCGAAAAACCAGAAAGTTTGAAACAGTGAATGGTGGGATATAGCATAATAAACAGTAACGATATTGAACTAACATCAAATACCCAAGGTGCACATGAAAGCATGCCAGAAACCCAAGTGCAAATTTTCAAAAACTCTGTTGTATTATCATGAATCTCCATGATGATAAACTCTTCGCCTCAAACGAGAAAAATCTCTTAGCCGCTATGACAAATCCTTCGATAATTTAACACATTGAACACGATTCGATACAATAGGTGAACGGTGCAGTCCATCAATGGATCATACCTCCGCCAATGTATTAACACTTTTCTGATCTCATCATTGAGTAGTTCATAGTGCATTGTCTATTCCCTGTAAAAATCAACTTCTTAAACCCATGTTCTGAAGTCTAAAAAAATTTTCTCGTCAAAATTATCCGTTTTTTCGTGTTAAAAAGATGTGCATTTCTACTTATCGCTTGCTTCATCTCATTTCTATTGTTTCATGAATTCTTTTTCAACATATACCATTAGGGGTGGACCATTAACATTAATATTAATGTTAATCTTTTTTCATTAATCATTAATGTTAATGTTAATGTTAATGTTTTCATTAATGTTAATGTTAATGTTAATGTTTTCATTAATATTAATGAATTAATGTTTAATGAGAACATTAATCATTACTATTAATGAATGAAGTTTTTAATGGAAAACATTAACCCTTAATATTAATGGTTAAGTGAAGTTATTAATTAATGTCAGTAATTAAGTCCCATTAAACAAAATGGTCCACCCCTAGTGTAAAGACTTTTTACACGCAGATTGTGTGTATTTGAAGTTGTTTTTATGATCTTTTTTTCGATTAAATTTTTGCTCTTTACTCCCTAAAAGATATCTGCAGGTTCCATGTAAGCGAGCGTCTAGGCGAGTCTCCTTCAATAAGCAGAAGCTTTTAGTTCTTCTCCAACAATAAGTGCACATTTCCACTATATTTTACGCATTTTTTGCAACATTTTCTTGAAAATCCCCATTTATATACCATAATTCGTCATACACCTCTCCCAATCTTCGAAACTTCGCGTGGCGACTGAATATGTGAAACATTGATTTATTGAAAAAGTCATTTCTACAATCAAAACAATGACCTACACTTGTGAAATACCTGCTTGAAGGCAAAAGATCAATAAATAACCCATAAAATATCCCATTGATATATAAGTTCTGCACCTTTTTTTGTGTTTTAAACAAATTTAAGTCCTTCCATCTTATGATTGAAAAGTGATAGAAGTCTGAAACTTTTAGTGTAGTTAGGTGTCTTTGACTTTGAATTATACTAACATTTTCAGAGTTCCATCCCTTTTCAATCACGACGTGCAAGGCGTTAAATTTGCCGAAAACACAAAACAACCTACAGAACTTATGTACCAATCCGATAGTTGTTTTCATCATATTTATTTTTTCATTTATCTTGCAGGAGAATCAGGGGCAAACATTTGATCGAAAAAAGATCGCAGAAACAATTTCAAATACACATAGGTGCACATAGAGCATTATACTGATTCTAAAAATAATATTTGTTTGAAGTCAAACCAGGATTGTTCTGCTCGAAAAGCGTCGAATAGGAAACAAAAATGATAGAAATTGGGTTCTATGAGTAATATTTGAGCAAAAGTGCTTTACTAGACATCGATTTTCAAGTTTAAAACAGTTTTATTAGAAAGAACACATAGAATTGCATATTTAATAGAAAAATCTTACTGATGCACTTGTATTAACTATAACTTCAAAAGACTAAACAAATAGTAGCTTTGAGAATATGGCCCAATCGGGGCGGTATTTGGCATTTATTGTGTAGGAAAAGGTTTAAATGTCTCCAAACTCCTTATAAATTTTGATAGAGAAAAGAATTTTCGTCGAGTAAGTCTATTTTTGTGAGCCTAAATTGATTTGTGATGGACGTCTGGATGACAAACGTTTTTTAGCGCTTTCATAAAGTGTTATAGACGTTTGTTATTATCCAACTAATTTAAGAAAAAACTGTTAGATTTGTAATCAAACCACTGAGTCCTGCCAAGTTATAGGGACTTCTAATTGAACCGCAACAAAAATAATAGTTTTCGATGCCTGAGGAGACCCCAGACATTAAAAATGAATCATGAGAAAATATATAATAAACTTGTAAAAAATAATCAGGAATGACTGTTGATTCTTCGAACAATAAAATTAGATCGAGTTTCCTTTCTGGGACGCCAGATCCATTATTTGGTATCTCTCTTTAGGCCATAGAAATCTGAAGATATTTTCTCGCGAGATACCAATTAATGAAAAAAAATGACGTATGTTAATTTTGTCTTAAAATTTATTTTCTTGATTGACGCATGAAGTCTGTCTTGAATAGTTACGATGGCTTCCATTATAGAGGCCCTGGAAAATTCTCGAGATTACCTTCAGTATTTCTTAAATTAACTTTTCTTCCATGAAAAAATCAAAATAAAAAAAATATTTGCTTCATATCAATCATTAATCATTAATATTAATGAATTAATGATTAAATGAGAAAACATTAATCATTAATTAATGTCATTAATTAAGTCCCGTTAAATTAAATGGTCCACCCCTATATACCATTCGATAGAAAAAAAAAACGCTCTGCACGATGGTGTACTTTTTTTATCGAAAACACACTTTAAAAAAATCTGCATTTAAACAAGTACTCATGTGCTGGTGCAGATCTTCACTAATTCTTTTTTTTTCCACCATAATAAGGTCAAAATTAGCTTTCAAATATAGCATTGGAAAGAACGTTAAAAACTGCACAAGACAGCCTATTTCAATAACTTTTAGAAGAATGTGTCACATTGGAGGTTATTTGACCACGACAATTGACCACAGTGGGACCCGCCGATGGGTCGCATCGTGGTGAATGTGTTAAGATCGATCTCTGAAGTCCTTATTGTTTACCATTCTACTTCTTATTTTCTACAATGCAGGCCAATTACTTATTGGTACAAGTTTCACCTATGCTCAGCGTATTTGTAACGAGGAATACGATCTCATGGATAGAACAAGAGACGTGTCTTACTTGATCGACTGTGGCCATACCTTGTTTCCTCTACACTCAGATCTTTCATAGAGAATATACTCTAAAGTGATTTGTCGATATAAGACTCATTTCAATATATCAAACAAATAATACATTGGATAAGGAGAGTTATGAGAGAGGAACAAAAATTGTTTTAAGAATAGAAAAATATAAAACGTCCGCTGTTGTTTCAAACAATTTCCTTTGCCTGCTCTACTTACACAAAGACATATGCGTCGTCAGATGAAAAAAAACGAAAGTGACTGCCTACCTTCTTGCATGAGAGAGAAGCAGTAGTTTTCTCTCTCGGCGTCTCTATGCGAAAAAAATTTCTTTTCTTTCATGAATATAAGCGTTTGATACTTCACTGGTTTCATGTTTTATAATCAACAACAGAACGAACAAAAATAACGTTCTTGCACCATGAACAGCCCACATATAGGAGAAACATGACACTTATGTACTTTGAAGTTTCGTAAAGACATTTAAGTCTTAAAAGTAGCCTAAGGTACCATAAAGTATGTTATCGTATCTCTAAAATATCATAAAAATCGAACTGCTTGATATGGCATCACAGATTGTTCTACATAGTGGCGTAACCAGAAGAAGCCGAGTGGTTGGATTCAGCACTAACGATTTTTAGAGAGGATATCTTAAGTGACATAGAATGTCTATTTTCCATAGAAAAGGAATGCGGCGATGTGTTTGTCTTTAAATATAGCTTTTTAAAATGATGCATCATTTATTTAGTGAAAAGGGTGTGGGTATGGGTGTGGGTGTGGGTGTGGGTGTGGGTGTGGGTGTGGGTGTGGGTGTGGGTGTGGGTGTGGGTGGGTGCCGGTGTGGGTTACACTCTCTTCATTGACATCGTCACCCACACTCCGCACCCACCCACACCCACACGCCCACACGGCCACACCCACATCCATACTCACCTACACACGCCCACACCCATATCCACACGTCCACACGTCCACACGGCCACACCCACATCTACACTCACCCACACGCGCCCACACCCACATCCACACCCACACTCACCCACACCCTTACTCACACCCACACCGCACACCCTCTCTCACACTCACACTCACACCCCACACTCACACCCATCCTGCTTAGAAATCTCGAACGATTCAGTTATATTTATCTTTAAAAATAGAAATCAATTTTTTCATGATTACTTCAATATTTTGAGTGTTTTCTGACGAAAAAATCTATTGAGCTAGTATCGTCCATTTGAACTGATATTTTGCTCATAGATATGGCTTATAATGTATATAAAAACCCTAAAAAGGTTCGTGATATTAGACCTTCGTTCTCGAGTTATGATTATAGTGTAGATCTTCTCTTGATGCAAACCCACATCCATAGAAACATTCAAACTACTGATTGATATATGATAGAAATAACTTCTTAAGCGTATTTATCTTAAAAATACGCCTAAATATGAAAAATTTCCTCTTATAAATAGCAGAAAATGAGAGTGTGAGTGAGAGTGTTTGTGTAGAATTTGTCTTCAGGCACACCAACATCTACACCCACAACTACAATCCATCAATATTATTCAATCACAACTGTCGACAGAAAAAACAGCTGTCCCTCCCTCAAAACTGATGAGCCTGGTATGCACGAGATATTACAGCAAAAGTATGTACGATGTAAAATTATTCACTCTTGATTTATGTTTCTATTTTTTTACTTTCTGTTTTATCTATGCATGTATCAAAATAGAAATCACTGATGCATGGAGTCATAAAGAGCATTTTTTTTCTTCTGCTGTTCATTATTTAACCAGGTAGCTATCTGATAAAAAATATAGTAGAGAACGCAAAAGAGAATGCACCATTTAAAGAAGAAAAGTAAGCAGTCTATTTATTTCTTTTACCATCACTATACGTAAAGGTAACACCAACAGCAGTTTAAAAAAGTCATGTCATTCACTACTGAAGATTTACAGAAGTATGTTGGACAAAATGTTCGGGATGTGAAACAAGAATTAGAAAGTGAAGGTAATACAAAGGCTTCTATCATAATTGAATCACAGAGTGTGATTTTACATTCATGTATCTTTCTTTCTTTAGGCTGCGAAGTTCATCTAATTTGTACAGGTCGCTTTGCAACAGGTTGTGTACCACCAAGACAACTCGTCGCTGGCGAGTCTGAATCTGAACGAAAGAAACGTGTTGTTGTTTCATATAATGGTGATGATCCAGACGAAAAAATTACTTCCATTCGACTAGATGACCATTGACATTGATCTTTCATTCAGAGATTATTATACGAAATAAACTTCTATTTTCAAGTATATAATAGCTCGTTTTTATTTAGTCATAACACACTTGAATCACCAAACCTTATCAGTCGTATATTTCATTGCAGTGCATTCTTTTAGTTGCTCTATAAAATATTTATAAGTAAAACAATAATAAATAACTAATTCAAATCTTGCTATTGCAACGTTGCATCTAATTTGGAAATATCAAGAAGCTTCATTGAAGAAGAGTTCCGATGATATCTGTAATGCTTATCATCACGTAGTCCTAATGGGCGAAGTGTGGTTGGACGTGTGTGAAGATGGATCTTTCCTTCATTCTCACCCAGACATCCATACCCGCACGATTCTCGTTTTGATTTTTTCGAATTTCTCCCGAGTACTGTCGATGAATGTCGATTCGGCTTGATTCTTCTTCGAAATCGGAGTATCTCAAGAAAAGATTTAAATGTTAACAAGTAAACGAAAGGAATCGAACTTATTTTGATCTAAACATGTCCGATTCTGAAACAAGATAGAGAGCATAAATTCATCGGACTATTCCAATCTTTAATTGAATAAAAGAGAGTAGTCGAACGAATTACTTGACAACGAAATGAAGGCTGATACATAATTAGAATAATCGAAAACGTTCAACGCAATTTGCTTCTACGGATAACATCAGTTGCACTGACCACATCTATATTGTTAGTCCAAAGTCCATGAGCTATTATTTGATTGTGCTTGTCGTTAGAAATTAATATAGTTCAAGAATAAATATTTAGGACATTATTGAAATCATACAACATGTTGCATGAAAACCGTTTGACGATGTCACACTACGAGTTGTTATATAAGCTGGAATCAACACCAAAACAATTGTCGAAGCGATCAAAAGCAAAATTAGAATGAGAATCACAGACAAATCAGTTGTAAATTTCATTTTTTGTTACTTTTCTCTTTCTAAGAACTTTCATAAGCCGCGGATCTTGCAGGTAAAGTCGCAGCCCTACCGACTGATTAAATATTTTGCTGCGTTATTTACTGTCAATTTAACTTCGAGTTGTCTTCTATGATCGGCTTTAGATTGAATTGGTGTTTGTCTTCTCGAAACGAAAACGATTTCTATTCGGTATTTAGAATAAACACCAAAAATATTCTTTTCTGATTGAATTCTATAGTACTTCGATTGTCAATCAGAGTTCTGGTTTCACAATGAATCCATTGAAATCGATGAAAAATTTCAAAAAGTGTTTCTCATTCGAAATTTTCTCACTGATACTCACCAGAGAAACTTTCAAGTTTGTTATCGAAGGTTTGTCGATGAATATTCTTCTCGAGTCATCGTTCAATAGAATGTCGTTGATCAATGGAATGAACTCTGTTTGAATAGATCGTTTCGTTCGCGAAATGGATTCTTATTGTTGATATACACAGCAGAAACATTGCTGCTCAACTTAGAAACAAGCATTAAAAATTTTTTAATCAGTTTTCCGGTTAAATATTGAGTTTCGATGGACTTGATGAGTATCAATTCTAAACTAAAGAGTCGGTTAGGAAACTCTGATTGTTTCCTCATCAATTTCAGTTTCGATCAATTTTATTTCGATCTGAACATCTCTCATTCGAATTTGATTAGAAAAAAAACCTTGGAACAAATGTAAACAAGAATGAGAATAATGTTCACAAATGAAAAAAAAGAAGAACGTCTAGATTAAATCTCGTAAAAACTATTTTGAAGAGTTAAAAAATTGTCTTTGTGTATTATTTTACCATGAGTCCGATGCGCAAAATAAACTAACTTCTCTATTTACTGTCATGAATCAAATAGAGGTGATAAGTAACAAGCAAATGACTCATAAATAAACGGTTCAGTTTCTTTATTATACACTTGTTGGATGTGGATGTGGGTATTGTTCTTCTTTCAATCACACGCGCCCACACCACATCCTCACCCACCACATACATTCTCATATTTCCTTTTGCCCTAAAACATCTCAAAGAATCAAATTCACTGCACACTACCGTATATTTATAATACATAACCATTTAGACTAAGGGTGTGGGTGTGGGTGTGGGGTGTGGGTGTGGGGTGGGTATGGGTGCGGGTGTGGGTGTGGGTGTGGCTCTTCTTTTCACTCACTTGCACTCCCACAGATCCACACTCACACCATACACCCACACCCACACCCACAACCACACCCACATCCACACCCACACCCACACCCACACCCACACTCACACCCACACCCACCCACACCCACACTCACACCCACACCCACACCCATACCCACCACATTCACACCCACACCCCACACTCACACCC